CCAGTTTTGATATGGGCCCTGCTCAGTCACAGATTTCCCCTTATTCGCCTCTAAGCTGCCTTTTACCTCCAGAGTCACACATTTCCCTTTCTTCACCTCTAAACTGCCTTTTGACTAATCTCCAGACTCTAAAGCTCAAACTAAAGCATCTCAATTTTTCCTGTAATACTGTTTGGCATATGTACAAGCTTGACAATGGCTTGCAGCAGCTTCAACATGGCATTTTCAATCTCTCAGTGCTCATTGATCTCAATAATTACTGCCAAAAATTAGGCAAATGGTCAGCGAGCCCTTATATCCAGGAATTTCTCATACTCCAAAACATTCCTTTCCTGTGTGCATCCTGCGAACCTGCTCATATTTTCCTGGTATGAGTAACAACAACTTCTCTCGATGCCCTTCTACAACCCCTGCTGCTCTTCTCCCAAACCCCTCTTACAATTCCTCTGTTCTCTCAATCAGAACACCCGGGAAGTTTCTCTGTGTAGGATACCTCTCTTCTGTCTATAACCTCCCATCAGTCAACCATTCTCACTGCCCTCCAACTCCCACATCCATACCCTTCCCTTAAATAACACCCCACCCCCTCCACCACTCCCCACTCTCTGCCACATGTGGTAGAGAAAAAAATGGTGGAATTTCCCCCAGGGCCCTCAGACCTCTGAGCAAGATATCATTGATGAGGCCTTCAAGGTGTGGCAGTACCCTTCAGAGTTCCAGTATTGGCTTCCACCCATTAAGCAAAACCCAGCTACTTCTTAAAACTCCATGAGGCATTCTGAAAAAAACAAAATCTTCCTCAGGATCATGCTTTAAGTGCAGCAAACTAGGCTTCTGGGCAAAGCAGTGCCCCAAATCCAACCACCCCCCAAACCGTGTCCAGCCTACAGAGGTCTGGCTGTCCTAGGCTTTCTGAAGATCTGGTGCAAAGACTCTCAGAACATGGCTGAAATTCCCTTCTGAGCCAAGCTGCAAGAGACTGACGACCTTTGAAATCAAAATGCCTCCTAGATGCTGTCTTGGAAAATGGAACTTTAGGTATTTTTGCTTATAGAAGGTAAGCCAATCTTTCCTAACAAACATTGGAGCAATGTCATCCATGCTGCCATTTTGTAAAAGTCCTCTAAAAACAGGCAGAGATCTCAGTAATGGGTATTAGATGTACTCTCAGGATTGCCAGTGGTCCTGGCAAGGCTAACTGGTTCCTGCCTCTCACTGTCCACCTTCCTCTTTGATTATTGCCTGATAAGGTCACTAATTATGATTTTTTCTCATTCTCAGTTTTGAACCAGCAACCCTCTGCCTCATGTCTTGATTTATTAACCAGACAGTCAGCCAAAAACAACTCCTCTTATCCTTGCTTTACTGGATACCAACCAGCTCAGACTGAAAAAGCCAGAGTTCCTGTAGATGCCACTCCCTTATAACATTCCTCTCCCCTTCCCATTCTCTTTACAGGCAGCCCACACAGCTCCTCCCCCCACAGGAAGTAGTCAAAGAAATACCATATCCATCATCCCACCTCATTATAATAGACAAAAAAGACTGGAATGATAGGGTCAAGCCCCACCCAAATAGGGTGGACCTACCTAAAAGAATTAACCCCCTACCCTCTCCTACTGGATGTCCCACTTAAGAAAGGTGAATGGGTCAACCCTCTACCTTACCCCACTGGATGTCCCACTTAGGAAAGGTAAATGGGCCAACCCCCACCCTTACACCAGATGCCCAACCCAGGAAAGGGAATGTTCTGACCCCCACCTTCCTGACCTTTAAAATCCCCATTTTCTATTACCCATGGGTGGATTTCTTCCTGGTCCAGTTGGATATCCTCCTCACCTGCACAAACAATTTTAAAAACAAAGCCATTTTAATTGCACAAACCAAGCATCCATTTCCTTTTGTCTCACACCTTTCATCTTTGGCTCCATATCCTTTCACTCCTTAGATTGCCTTAATACTCAATTCTTTCAAAATTTCAAAGTCCAGCCAATTCCCCTATGATTTAAAGTATTCCAGGGCATTGAGAAAGATAGGAACGTTTCAATTATTTCTAAGTTTAGCATGATTTCCTATGCAAGAATCTAATAAAACACAAAAATTATAGCACAATTTTATTTATGGGTACAGATGCAAAATTACTAAAAATATTCTCCTTTTTGCAGTTTTGGAATTTTTTATTAAAAATATTATAATATTTTACTAAAAATATTCTTTTTTTATTAAATGATAGCTGTGTACATTAATGCAATCATGGGGTATGGTGTGGTGTTTTGATATACAATTTGAAATATTTTCATCAAACTGGTTAACATAGTCTTTATGTCATTTTCTTAGTTATTGTGTTAAGATGTTTATATTCTACTTTTAGAAAGATTCACTTGTACCCTTGAAAGATAAACCATAGAGGTGATCCCTCCAATCACCCTCCCTCCACCCATCCACCCCCCCCACTCCCTCCCCATATTCTTAGGCTATAATTAGGTTATAGCTTCATATGAAAGCTATAAATTAGTTTCATAATAGGGCTGTGTACATTGGATACTTTTTCTTCCATTCTTGTGATACTTTGCTAAGAAGAACATTTTCTAGTTCTAGCCATGTAAACATGAAGGAGGTAAAGTCTCCATCTTTCTTTATGGCTGCATAGTATTCCATGGTGTACATATACCACAGTTTATTGATCCATTCATGGATCGATGGGCACTTGAAAAAGTTGCTTGTTGCAGCTAAAAGAGTATTTTTATATGAGACAATGTTTTCATCTAACAGGTCTAAGGAGAAAAACCATAGGAATGTCTCCATCAAAAAGACATTTAACTAACTTTCATCCATGCTACACACTGTTAGTTAACTAGAGAAAGAAGAGAATTGTCCCAATGTGACTGCCACTTTGCCATGTCCCAATGTGACTGCTACTTTTCCGTCACGGCAGATGTGATGGAAACCTAAAGAAGATGCACAGTGAGAACCCCAGAAGGGAGTTCTGATGCCAGCCTCAGGCATGACAATCACCCTGTCACCCCAATTGTTTAACCTTGTCCTAGAAGGGACAATAAATTGAATAGATAAAAAACAAATAAAAACTCTTACTTCTGAAAAGAAGTATACAGAAATGTCCTTATTCTCAAAAGATGTGTTCCTTCATTTAGCATTGGAGGTTGATTGGGCATCCAACAGTGTTATGGCCAGAGGTGACAGATGACACCTGAGTCCCTGAAGGCTCTGACTCTTCAAGGGCTGGGGTGCCCTGGGGGGCAGAGGATGCTCAGGTGAGCTTATCATTGTGGACATTTGTAGTCAGTGGGAGCCAGAGGCCTGCTCTGCCTTCCACCATGACACTTCCTATACTCAGCCTACCACAGCCAAGGCTTAAATTCTAGCTCAAGGGGGGCTAACGCAGCCCTCTCAACAGTAGGAGAAAGTGTTAGCAAGCAGGAAACTCTTGGGCCCTGATGAGTGTCTGCCCCAGGCAGGCCTGGATGAGCCAGGGCAGAACATGGTGCAGGGGTCCAGACAGCACAGTCTCCCCCCTGGGCAATTGACTCTGCCACCCCACACTGGCCACTGGAAAAGAAAGGGGGCATGCTGACCCCATCCACAAGCCAGTTAGGCCTACATTGCACGTTCTTACCTAGAGGGGTGCTAAAAAACAGAGGCTAGCAAAGGCCCCTGAAGTTACTGCTGGAGGTCCACACCCCTTCCTGGGACAGGAGCTCACAATCAGACATTAGCGACACAGCTGCTGCTTTCAGTGCAGAACAGCCAGCAACTTGCCCATGTTGCTAATATACTGGTGAGAGAAAAATTGGGTTAGAATGCAGTGTATAATATATGGACTCATTTTCATATACATAAAAGTATAGAAGAACGAAACTCAAATTCCAAAAGTGATTTGGTTGGATCATAAGTAATTGATTTTTATTTTCTTCATTTTCATCATATTTTCTATTATACATAAAGATGAGTTACTTACATAAAAGCATAAAATTGCAACCTATTAAGCACTTCCATATGCTATCAGCAATAATACAGCATGAAAAACTTCTCTTCTTTCTAGCTACAGTAAAAAAAACTTCACACAATTCCTGGAGACAATCCTTACAGAATGTGGAAATGGGAATGTATGAAGAAAACAATTAATAAATGCAAGAAGATGTTAATAAATGTGGAGCCCTACTGTGTCTCTGCATAAACTAAGACAAAATACTTTAAAAATATAGTATTCAAAATTTTACTTGATTTAAAGCAAATCCAATAAAAATCCTAATATATATTTTTAAAATATGAATTTAATGTAACCCTAAAGAGTAATTTCCCCTTAATTTTCCCAAAATTGTTCAACTTTTTATTTTCTTCCACCAAATTTGGCAGTTAATTTGACAAAGTGGAACAGAATTCAGATGTTGAATTTTTCTTGGGGCTCTATTTAGCAGGTGGTGATTCAGGTACTATTGGGGCTGCTCAGAAAAGCCTCTTCATTAGATGTTAAGAGCTTTTGCACCCCACTTTCTGACCTTTGGGTTGGTGACATGTACCTGGACGTGTTTACAGTAACCAGTGTTGACAGAACCAAGCTCCATCCTCACCAGGTTGCTGGATGTAACTTCTAAGAGGCAATGGCTTCAGCAATCAGACTTTGAAGTAAGGCCAACAGCAGCTAATAATAAACTAATAACTTGGGCCAGAGAAGAAGGAAAGTGGCATTGGTTGGTGGGTCACCCTCCTTCTCAAGGATGCATTATAAAAGTTCAGCCTTTCCACAGGATTGTATTTTCAAGTTGCAGTGGGACTGAAGGGCGCCATGGCTGCCCTTGGCATTACTATGGCCCTACTGGTCTGGATGGCCGTCCTCCTGCTGGTGTCCATCTGGAAGCAGGTCTACAGCAGCTGGAACCTGCCCCCGGGGCCTTTCCCACTTCCCTTCTTTGGAAATCTTTTCCAATTGGAATTTAAGAATATTCCCAAGTCTTTGGACAAGGTAAGAGAAATATTGTTGATTTTAGGGAGAATAATTCTAATATATGTGTATGCAATTCACCACAAATTGTCATTACTCAGTACCAGCTTATGATGAATGAACTGAATTAGCAGTTGGATCTAGGAATGGTATTCAGTGTGTAGACAGTGGCACAGCTGTGGCACAGCCCCTCAGAGCGAGCAATGGCCTTGGCACGATCTGGAGGCCGCTGTGTGTGCATGGTGTGATCATCACCAGGAGGTCAGTGAGGCCGGCGGCTGTGATGCACTAGCTGTGATGCCAGGATGACCATGCACTCGTGACTGGATGCACGGGGGCTGAGGGCCAACCTGTGTGCGCCAAAGCATGGGCTGGAAAGTGATGTGCTGCACAAGCCAGTGCAGTAATGACGCCTACCTCCTGGGCTGAGAAATCTAAACATTACGTGAGTTGATAAAGAACGCCATAGTTACAGAGCTGGAGCTTGGCACCGGTGCGTTGTGCCCAGTACAGGGAAGGTTGGCAGGGGCGAGGGCTTCAGGTATCCTTGACTAGGGAAGCAGAAAGTGGGGTGATGGAATACCAGAAGCTAGAGTCCTAGAGTTGACCGTGCAGCCTTGATGCGCCCAGTGTTTGCCCTGAGCTCCCTGCAGACTCAGCAGCTGCCTGCGAGAAGGGCCTTCCTATGTTTGGCTGGAATAAGATGGCCTTTCCCCAGATCCCTCTGGGTTCTCTCGATCATAGCAACAACAACAAGGTAGCGGGGGTGAGGGGTAACGCAGTTAAAAGCAGGGCCCTCCCCTTCCCCTGTGACTTCACTCTGAGTTCCCTCCTGGTCCCTGTCCCCGCAGCTGGCTGAGCGCTTTGGGCCGGTGTTCACGCTGTACCTGGGCCCGCGGCGCACAGTGGTGCTGCATGGCTACAAGGCGGTGAAGGAGGCACTGCTGGACCACAAGAATGAGTTGTCAGGCAGAGGCGACATCCCTGCATTCCGGGAGTACAGGGACAAGGGTGAGTCTGCTTCCTGGGCACGCCGGGACCAACACCTGCAGAAAGTTCTGGGTGCGAGCTCCATCGGCCCTGGCCAGATATTAAAATAGCAATAATGGTAACAGTAACTAGAGGAAGATCGGCAGGTGCAGTGGCCTGGGCCCTGGGCAATGGTGCGCGCTGTGCAGGGCCTGCTGCATGCGTGGTCCTTTCTGGTACTCTCACCCTGTTTTTCCGGTGTACATTTCTGAGTTTACCACAATCAATCAGTGACGTTGGATTTTCCCTCTTCTACATTGTAGATTTGTTTTTACTTCTTTGGGGTTACCAAAAGCAAAATTGACCCTTTTAGTCCTGTCACTTACACAAGAAGAGTATTACTGGAGTACCCCAGGAGACTGGGGTACGGTGGTTAAGGAGCTCAGGTCTGGTTCAGGGGACCGGTCCAAGGCACCAGTCCTGTGGCAGCAAAAGACTGGGGCTCCCAAGTGTTATATTACCCAGATGGTCAGAATGACTCAAAATCAGTCCAAACCTAAACATGGGATGCATCTTGCCCTCCAGGGAGGATGATGTAAATGTTCATTATTAGTTTAACATTAAGCAGAGGCTTTGTGATGTGCTAAGGGAACTTGGGAATGTGCAGACATCATTTGAGACAATTTAAAACAGAGAAAATTCCACTTGGATTTTTAACCTTGTGTATGGCCTTCTAAAGGGATCATCTTGGGGCTTAACATGACCTAACTTGTGGCCCACCTGTTTGAGGCTTTGACAAGTACATGGAAGGGAATGGCGTCGATTTTTCCAATTCTGATGGCCCTTGTGATTGGGGAGTCATGTGACTTCCAAGATTTTAGTAAAGAAACTTGCTATGATGCCAAAAAGGCATAAGTTGAGATGTTTGTAGTACGAGGGTTAAAAATTGATGAGTACAGAATGGTTTTTCAAGAACTTTGTCAATAGTTAAGAAAGAGGTGGGAGTTTTTCTTGGACTGGTCACATGTGGTTTATTTAGCATGGGAAAGACTCAGCAGAAAGTGTAAAATGAAAGGAAATAAGTGACTGTGTGAGGATGAAATTTCAGGAAAGCTCAGTGTAATGGAAAAATCATGGTGCAGACCTTGAGGACCCCAGAAAGGATTCTCCCCAAAACCTGACCAGTGGCCAGTGCTGGCAGCTGCCCTGGCACACTCCTGCCTCCTCAGCCCTGCCTTTCTGCTACCTGCAAACCCAGCAGCACTGGGTTTGACAGTGCCAGGCTCTGACAGAGCCATTTGCCAGTCCATTCCTGTTTCGCCATGAACTGGGTGTGTGGGGTAACCCCTGATGTTCCTTCTTTCTTAGGAATCATCTTCAATAATGGACCCACCTGGAAAGATGTCCGGCGGTTCTCCCTGACCACCCTTCGGGACTATGGGATGGGAAAAAAGGCCAATGAGGAGCGGATCCAGAAGGAGATGCACTTCCTTCTGGCGGAGCTCAGGAAGACCCAGGGTATGAATCCCACCTCTGGCAGGACCCAGTGCTCACACAGATGGGGAGGGACTACCCTGGTTAGGGCCTCTAGATGGTGTCTGAACAAGCCAGGCACCCAGAGGCAAAGAGACGGTCCTGCTAGTCTGCAGACACTGCATATTGTGGCTTGAGTTCCCACTCTGTATTTCAGGGGGAGCAAAAGTGCAATGGTGATTGTTGTCTCCTAAATAATGTTAAAAATTAAAGAAAACTCAAATAGGTTCAGACATTCACTATCTTTTGTGAATTACCACAGATTTTGAGGTGTCTTCTTACAGGCTTGCAGCAGGCGGGGGCCTAGTATCCTCACCCTCTGGGGACTGCCCTGACTCTCACCTGTTTTCCAGGACAGCCATTTGACCCCACCTTTCTCATTGGCTGCGCACCCTTCAATGTCATAGCTGATATCCTCTTTCACAAGCATTTTGACTACAATGACAAGATATGTCAGAGGCTGATGCATTTATTTAATGAGAACTTCTACCTGCTAAGTACTACCTGGCTCGAGGTGAAGCATTTCCTTTTCCATTACTCTTCAATTGTATAGTTTATGTTAGAAGAAGGAGAAAAAGGAAAATTCAAGTTGTTTGGGATAGACAGGACTGCAAAAGCCACAGAACAGGAGCATTTCAGGAGTGTTTGACTAGAGAGCTGAAGAGTCATCCTGGAGACCACACGTGGTCTACACCTCTGGTTTCCTAACTTCAGGATTCATGTTGACCTATGTGTGCACATTTTCACCACTGCATGTGCACTGCCTAGGAGAATGGTGCCCCCAAGCAACTGTTGACCCCAAATGTCTCAAATAACATAATTACAACAGCTGTGAATTCAAGTTTGAAGAAAGTTAGCCCAGCACACACAATTATCTTGCATCTAGAAAAAAATAGTAAGATTCTCTCTCTCTTTCTCTTTTGCTTTCTCTCTCTAGTTTTACAATAATTTTTCGAGCTACCTACACTACCTGCCTGGAAACCACAGAAAAGTGATTAAAAATGTTTCTGAAATAAAAGAGTATGTGACTGTTAAAGTGAAGGAGCACCAGCAATCTTTGGACCCCAACTGTCCCCGGGATTTCACTGACTGCCTGCTTGTGGAAATGGAGAAGGTACCAGACCCTCTGTGTGAGACAGGTTCATGGGAGTAGGAGCATTCGTTTTTCAGATTTGTATTATGACCTGCACTTACTGGTGTCCAGACTGCCCACAGTGGCTACACTGATGATGCCTTTACTTCCACACAAATACTCTGGGTCTCATTAGGGCCTTTGTGTGCTGCTGCCCACACAGGATGCACAGCCTTCTCACCTGTGCACCAAGTTGACCTGGGGCTAGGGGATGGGGTAGTGGGCCCCTCTACTCCCTTCAGCCTGCTGCTTAATCCATTCAGTCCACTGACTCTGAGAATTGCATCTTATCTGAGGAGAAGCCCTCAGTGGTCCCTGTGGACATGCATGCCCCAACTGCACTTGGCTCCCAGGCTATCCATCCTATCCATCCTACCCAGCTTCATCCACCTGCTCCCCCTCAAAACCTTCAGTTTCAGCCTATATTGGTGAAGCTTCTTCTGTACTTGTCTTTTCCTGTCCTGTAGCTTGTGGATTCCATATTGATTTCCCCTGGATGATGAGCCAAGAATCTCTGCTCCCAGTTTGACCCCTCACTGCCCATCAGACACAGCCCCTGCAGCAGGCCTCCCAGCTCAGGCCTGTGCTGGGACTGAGCTCTCAGTATCCCATAGCCCTCATGCTGTTGAGGGAGACAGAGCCTCCAGAGCTAAGTGAGGAGCTCTATCCTGCCCTGAGCAGATTTGCTGAGAGCCTCAGTTTCCCTAGTGTGAAGTGGTGAGGACACGTGTCTCATAGTTCCCAGTCCCAGTCCCACTGGGAGAGCCTCTCAGACACAGGGGTTCCATCCTCCCCAGCTTCATCCATGTGTTATCTCCTGTGTCCCTGTAGAGCTAGGACATGGCAGATTCTCTTTTGCTGAAGAGAAATAAACTTTGTCTTCTGGTCCACTGAGACCTCTCCTTGTTGAGTCCCGATCCATCTCTGATGTTGCAGGAGAAGCACAGTGTGGAGCCCTTATACACTCTGGACAATATTGCCGTGACTGTGGCTGACATACTCTTTGCAGGGACAGAGACCACCAGCACCACTCTGAGATACGGGCTCCTGATTCTCATGAAGTACCCTGAGATTGAAGGTGTGCAGGTGACAGGCCAAGTGCCTGGCTGCCTGGCCATGTTCCCTGGGTACCAGCATGCTGTGCACCATGTGCTTTGGCTCCCTGTCTGCAGCTGCTTGCCGACTCTCAGAGGAGATATCTTTGAAGGGTGATGTTACTGTATGTGCTGGGCACCCAGTCACCTTGTATAGTGGCTGGTCAAAACCCCACTGGGGGGCCCATGGTTGCAGATAGGAGCAGCCCAACACCAGAATGGAGAGAGGCAAGGGGTCTGCACTCTGCTCTATAAGTAACAGTGAAACGCATGTTCCCATTGCTGCTGAGTAAGGCTAGGCCTTCTAAACAGAGCTGGGGGTGAGGGCAGAGCATGATGGGGAGGATAGGGAGGTTTCTTCCAGAGGCTTCTAACTACAGTGGGAATGTGAAAAGGGAAGCCTGGAGGAAGCAACCTGGGGTTGCCCTGGAGCCTCTTCTCTCCTTCCATGGGGCTGCCAGCAGCACTGGGTCAGGTGGGACCTGGCAGAGGTGTGGGGTTCTGGGCCTGGGTATACAGGGGGTCCTGAGTGGAGAAGCACCACCTGGGTTGAGAAGAAGTGATGTGAGGGAACCACTGTGTAAGCAGATAGATCAGGGAAGCCTCCGAGTAAAGAGAAAGCAAAGGGAGCCATAACCCAGGTGGGGGTGCCCAGGACCTGCAGCCCCCACTTCTTACTGGGCTGGGTACAGAGGGGGACAGCCCTGCCCATAGAGCTTACTAAGCTGCTGCTGGTAGCACTTGGCTTCAGCTTTGTGCCAGGCCCTTCAATCCACTGTGTTCTTAAAGTTCATCAATTCTGGGCAGCGCTGTGGCTCAAAGGAGTAGGGTGCTGGCCCCATATGCCAGAGGTGGTAGGTTCAAACCCAGCCCTTGCCAACCCCCCTCCCCAAAAGCTCATTAATTCTTGAGAATAAAGTTTTAAAGCATGTGAAGTAGTTTTCCCCAAGAACATGGATACATGACTGGTCTAAGGTGTGGCCCTGGTCTCTGGTCTTTCTGAGGCAAAGCATTTGCTATTTTGATCACACGGAAATATGAAGGGGCACAACACTTAGGGAAGGAAGTGTTTTATGGGTTTGCAATAACTGTAGGAGAACTTTTGACCATTCTCTACTAGATGCCCCCCAAAATGTTTTAAATTATCTTTTAGAAAAGAAGATAAACATGATTGACACCCATAAACCCATTGTCAAATTTAGCGTGTCTTAATGTTTTGCAACATCTGCTTCAGAGCTTTTACAAAGCAAATGAGTTACAGAGCCAACCAAAGCTCCACCTCCTCACACTTCCCTCCCCAGAGATGGTTTCAAGGTTGTAGCATCCCCATGAGTGACTCTGTACATTATAATTTACTGTCAGCATACAATTCATATTATTGCTGTATGTATCTGAACATTTTTCCTGGGTACCACACAGCAATTACGATAAAGTCCTGTAGGAAATCTCAAATGGGGAGAGGTTAGGCAACTTGCAAAGCTACCTCTGTTTTGCAAAGCTGTTATCTCTGAGAGAAAGAGAGATACTTTCAGACTTCAAGAAGTAGATCACACACATCTGATTCCATTCTGTCATTCTCCTTCATACCTCCTGGGAGCACATAATTAACCAGCCTGGGATAATAATCCAAAAATTTCCTTTCCTGAAGAAATTTCTAAGATCCTTTTGTTATTCTTTGTTCTTACTGAAGAGAACTGGATAAGCCATTGTCAGCTGAATAATGGATACCAAACGTTCTGTGAATTATGAATAACCTCTTACGGCTTAGCTCCTACTGACATTTGTGGAGAATTTTTCAGTAATTTACTTGTTTAGGATGTTCCATAAACATCTTCTGGGTGGATAATAAATAGATGTCCAACTAGACTGGAGTTAATCCTTTAAATTCATTCCCTTCATATGTTGGCAGACAAAATTCATGAAGAAATTGACAGAGTGATTGGGCCCAGACGAACTCCTGCCACCAAGGACCGGCTGGAGATGCCCTACACGGATGCTGTGGTGCATGAGATTCAGCGGTTCATCAACCTTGTGCCCAACAATCTGCCCCATGAAGCAACCCGAGACACCACATTCAGAGGATATGTCATCCCCAAGGTCAGAGCCTGGTGTGCACAGCAGACCACATGGCCTGCCAGGGAACTGTGTGGGGGTCTGGAGTGCCTCCCTTTGGCAGGTGGGGCTGAGTGGGGACTTGAACTACATCCCTCATAGTGTGCTGCTTCCTCATCAGCGCCCACCCAGACCTGGTGACCAGAGAAATGGAGCAAACCTAGAAAGATGCCTTCTGGGCAATGCTTGGGACTTGTAGCAACCTTTAACACCAATAAGTTAGTCCTGGAGTTAACCCTGTGAGGAGATGAGGGTTTCCATCTTCATTTGGACCTGACTACTTTCCATCTGGTCCTCTCCTAAGCAGCTTTCCCAGCTGGAAGCATACTATCCTGTTTAAGATGAAGTCCTGTGTGATGGAAGACAATCTTCACAGGAAATTCCAGATGAAAGCCCACATTTGGTTGACTTGACTGGCTGAGATGGTCTTTGTTTTTTTCAGGGCACAATCATAATACCTACTCTGAGCCCTATTTTGTATGACAGCCAAGAATTCCCTGATCCAGAGAAGTTTAAGCCAGAGCACTTTCTGGATGAGCAAGGGAGGTTCAAGTACAGTGACTATTTCAAGCCATTTTCCACAGGTAAGAGGGTGCAGAGGTAGCATCTTGGGGAATGGCCCTACCTGCCTCAGCTCTACGCAATGTCTCTGCCACCACCCAAGACTTATAGCAACACTCGAGCTGCCCATACCCCTTCCTTCTGTTTACAACATGACCCAAATGTATCCTCCCCTATTCAGAGAAGTTAAACGACCTCTGTTTCTGCTTTAATGAGACTTAGTGAAAATCCCTCAAAACTATAGTGCCCAGTTTTCCTTAATTTTAAACAAGGGCTGCTAAATGAATGGTAACCTTTGGTTATCTGGATGTACCATAGGAAACAGCACAGCCCTCCCTGGGGTGTGACTCTATAGCTCTTCCTCAATCCTGTGTCCGCCTCCCCTTGGTACCTGAGTGAGGGAAGATCACATAGCCAACTCTCTCCTTTAACTTCCAACAAGGGGCAGTAGCTTCTCACTTCCCCCCCTGCAGGGCCTTGCCCAGAGGTGTTGGGTGGTGCTTTCTTTGCTGGGTGGAGACAATTTCCCCGTTTAACACAGGGGTTTGCAATTCGGTTTTGGATGGTTGAGGCTGTGTGAAGGCTGGTCCTGGTATTGGTATTCTTATACTGAACACCACTGGACAGAGGGTGGATCCTGCCTCACTGCAGCAGTTTGCTCAGAGTCCCCCACTTGCCATCTCACTATTGGTAGTATTGTGTCTCCAAGGTGCTCTCAGTTCTCATCAATGGCACTGTTACTTCTAGGGAAACGGGTGTGTGTTGGAGAAGGCCTGGCCCGTATGGAATTATTTCTACTCTTGACTGCCATTTTGCAGAATTTTAATTTGAGGCCTCTTGTGGACCCAAAGGATATCGACTTAAGCCCTAAGACAATTGGGTTTGGCAGGATCCCACCACACTACAAACTGTGTGTCATTCCCCGTGCCTGAGTGTAGGGAAGAATCACCTAGAGCGCCCCCCAACCCTGTCTCCTTGACTGCAGCCGTGGAATCTTCCCAGAGCACCTCCATGGCCACTGGGAGACTGCTATTTCTACCTGGGGCAATCTGGCCAGAGATGATACTTTCTAGGATCCCAATCTTCAGACAGAGTTTGAAAGCAAAATCCAAAAGAGATTTTGTTTAACTTAATTAAACTAAGAATTTGCTTGAGGCCATGTCAAATTCCTAGAAGCATGGTAATTAGGAATCACTGTAAATCAAACAGACCTTTTCTAAAAAAGAACTATCAGGTCACCAGCACCAATATCTATTATAAAGTACGGGGTGGCCATAAAGTTCATGTGCAATTAAAATAGTGTGTAATTTAGAAGTGCACATGAGCTTATGGCCACCTTGTATTGACAAAGAGGAATAGGAATACTTTTTTCAAGACTGGAATCAGCAGGATTTATTAATCATGTCAAACATATCCCCACCTATCTTGCCTGCGGACACAATTGTTTCTCAGCTGCCCTCTGACCATCATTTTGTGCTATGTTTTAAGGATAAAATATGTCTCAAAAGTCAACACAGTCATCTCTTATTACTAAAATCTGACTTTGTATCTGGAAGAAGAAATTCTAGGCTTAGGGAGACACATGGAATGTGATGGTGGTAGCCAAAAGTCTTCTTAGTGAACTAAACTGGACATTGGAAAGAGAAGTGGAGTTTGGACTGACAGCCTTGTCCTCACTGGGCAAGCCATCTGGACCCACAGTTCTCGTGCCTTGCCTGTGTCTGTAATACTGAGACTACAGTTGTGGGGCAGAGTGTCCAGGCTTGATGGATTGGGCATGCCAAACCTTCAGAACCATTCCCAGCACACTGTGTTCCTTAATAAAACCAGTGACATTTTACAGTGTGTATCGTGTCATCTTTCAATCTCCCTCTAAGTTTGACCCTCCTGCTTCCCTCTTACAAAAGTTTCAGTGGGCCCCATTGCAAGACCCTGGATATGTTCACATATTCAGAGTTCCTTTCATCATGAGGACCCATAGTCCTAGTTTCTGGGGATCAGGATGTGCATGTCTTTGGGAGACATTGTTAGGCTGACCTCACCTTCCACCTCTTCCACTTTGGGGTACCACTGAAGACTCACATTAACTGGCAAATCAGTAGCTGAGGATGGTGTCTGCCTTTCACACCATCACACAGAGAAAAGACTGTTTCCAGCAGAATAACATACTAAGATATCTTTTTATTTGGTTTGGGGTAGGGAGGTTTCAATTTGAAAGAAAATCCTAGGAAAATTCTAAGTACCCAACAGAGATGGGCAAATGCTGAGAGGAGGCTATAAAGGGCCCAGATTGGCATCCTGGGCAGCAAAGTCCAAAGCTGCGTCTATGTTCAGGTCTTACTACCCCTCAAGAGTGAGCACTGACCTAGAGGTGACATCACTCTAAGGAATCCTCTACTGAGCTAAACCACATTTTGCAAAATTGGAGAGAAGGGGTCATTGGGGGGTGTGGTGGGTGAAGGAGGGAGAAAGAATCCTCTGGTCACTGGTTGAGAAGTATTAAGACAGCCGGCATGGGATGCTCAGCTCGACACCTGGCAGACTATACTCAAACCCTATCTTCAGCCTAGGCACCTTCCTCAGCTCCAGGGGCAGTTAGATGTTTCCACCTGTGTCAGCTACCAGGTAGGTGACATGTGTCCCTTCATCATCCTACTGGTATTCATATTCCCCTAGTTACTCAGGAAGGTCCACTGGGAAATCTTGAGTATTCTCTCCTCTTACTATGTATAGTCGATGTTGTTGCAAACCCTACAGTTTCCCCATTCAGTTCATCTCCACCAGTTATGGGCCCCCTGGATGCTCCCAGTGGTTCATGTCACGCTTCATAAAGGGCATCTTTGTAGCAGAGAGTTATGTAGTAGAAGGACCCAAAGTGTCAGGACTAGCCAGTAAGGACCTCCACCTCGTCCCTCTAGATGAGAAGCAGGGCCCTGAGCACAGAGAGCTTTGAAAGGGGCAGGAGTTTGTGATGTGCGTGCTGAGTGAGGAAGCATCTGCCCATAGAAGATGCCAATAGCAACTGCCTCTGCTGTCTCTAGAAGTTAGTGTTACATACTGTTATAAAATTCACTGCCCTGAAAAATAATTCTGGTCCAGTCATTCTGCTAGACAGAGATCTCTTAAATTACCCTCGTGACTCTAAAATAAAATCCAGCATTTTGGGCAATATTCAAGGACTCTCATCCTCAGCACCAGCCAACTTTTTTTTAAAAATGTCTTTCTTTTCTTTTTTTTCATTAAATGTTAGCTGTGTACATTAATGCAATCATGGTGTACAGTGTGGTGTTTTCATATACAATTTGAAATATTTTCATCAAACTGGTTAACATAGCCTTTATGTCATTTTCTTAGTTATTGTGTTAAGATG